GAATGTAGCTCAGCAGTAGAGAGCTTCATATGCAAGGCTCTAGATTTAATCCCCAATACAACACACACACACACACACACACACCCCAACACATACACAGCATCAGCTGGATAGAAGTCATTGTAAGACTATTAAACTTTTAAAAACAACATGTGAAACTATGAAATTATGCAATCTATATAAATTTTACAGTATTCATAAAAACAGCTCCTAATTATTGAAACATTACTGTGTAGCTATCACTATTCCATAGGTTCTCATTTATAGTGTCAATTCTCAAGCATTGTTCCATCAGGAACAAGACAACAATATCTATTTTTGCCACTTCTACTAAATGCAGTATTGGAAGTTCATATTCAAAATGTAGAAAACTAAAGAAAAGATAAAACATAAAATTGTGATATAATCCAGACAGGTATGGCAGTTTATACCAATAATCTCAGTGACTCCAGAGGCTGAGGCAGGAGGATGACAAGTTTGAGTCCAGCCTTAGCAACTTAGGAAGACCCTTTCACAAGACATAGCTGGGGTTGTAGTTCAGTGGTAGTAAAGCACCTCTGGGTTCAATGCCCAGCACACACACACACACACACACACACACACACACACACACACGTATACAGAGGTTATAATCCTGCAGTAGTGGAGGAAAGATAAGAATTACATCTGACTTCTCTTCAAAATGCCATGCAAAACATAAGAGAATAGAGTGGAATGCTTAAATGTTTAGGATAAAAGCCACCAATAAAGAATCCTGTACCCTGTGAAATTAACCCTCAAAAGTAAAGGCAGCATGAAGACTGTCTCAGACAACAAAATTTTAAGGAATCTACTACCAGAAGACTTGCCTTATATTAAATTAATTTCTTTAGAAAAAAATTCTTTAGGTCACAAACTTGGATTTACATAAAGAAATAATATTAGCTGAGGAGTTTGTGAAGGAAAATAAAATGCTTAATTTTCTTATTCTTAATTACTCTTTAAAAACTTGTTCAAAACAATAGCCACAATGATTTCTTTATGTTTGCATGTATACTAACACATACACACACACACACACACACACACACACATATACTTATGTATAAGTGAAATAAATGACATGAGGGACAGGAAAGAGGAATTGTAATTACTTTGCTTTATAAGGTAATTTCACTACAATTAAGGTGGTATTTTGTCATTTGACAATGGACTTGCATTAGTTGCAAAGGTATATTGCAAGTTCTCTTTAGCAAGCACTACAAAAGTTTCAAAAAATACCTGGAGGGACTGGGGTTGTATCAGATGGTAGAGCATTTGCCTTGCATGTGTGAGGCACTGGATTAGATCCTCAGCATCATATTTTAAAAAACAAATAAATAAGATAAAGGTATTGTGTCTATCTACAACTAAAAAAAATTTTTAAAATACCTGGAATGCTAAGAAGAGAGAAAATGGAATCAGAAATGGTCAACTAACTCCAAATAGGAAAAAAATGAGTAGAAGAAAAAAATAGGAACAAAGAATAAGAGTAACAAATAAAACAGTAGCACACATGGCAGATATTCACTCAACTATATCCATAATCACTTTAAGCATCAATGGTTTACACATATCAAGTAAAAGAAATTACAAGAACGGATCAAATGTCCAGATTCCATCAATTATTATTTACATGAAACCAACTTTAAATATAAAAACTCAATAGATTAAAAGGAATGGGAAAATATATATTATGCTAACTATAATCAAAAGAAAGCATTAGAAGATATGTTAATTTAAGACAGATTAGACTTTAGAGCAAGGAAGTTATAATGGATAAAAAGAGGCATTAGATGGTGATATATGGGTCAGTTCTCCAAAAAAGGCATAAATACCCTTTCTGCTTACATGACTAATAAGAAAAGTGTCAAAATATGTGAGGGAATTACAGATGCAATTGCAAGGAAAACACATGAATCAACTACTAGGAGACATTACCCTATTTATCAGAAATGGACAGATCTCACAGGTAGAACATCAATAAGGACACAGTAGAATTCAACAGCATCATCAGTTGATTAGATATCATTGAAATCTCTCTGTAGAATACAGATGGTTCCTCCACTTAACAGTTTGACCTCTGAATTGACTATTTGATGGCCCCAAAGCATACCCATACAGTTGTTCTGTTTTTTTTAATAATACCTCCAATACAGTTTTCAATAAATTAAATGAGATATTCAATATCTTATTATAAAAGCAGTTTTGTATTAGATGGTTTTGCTGAACCATAGGCTAATATAAGTGTATTTCATACATTTAAGATACCTAGACAAAGCCAGGCCTGGGGTGCCTATAATCCTAGTGACTAGGGAGGCCGTGGCAGGAGAATTGCAACTTGAGACCAGCTTCAGCAACTTAGCAAGGCCCTATGCAACTCAGTGAGACCCTGGCTCAAAATAAAAAAAATAAAAATAAAGGTGGCTGGAGTAGCTCAGTGGTTAAGTGCCCCTGGTTCCAATCTCTATTATTTAAAAAAAAAAAAAAAAGATAACTAGACAATAATTTAGCTATATTAAACACATCTCTGACTTCTGATATTTTCAAGTTATGAAGGGATTTTTTAGGACATAACCCCATCATAAACTGAGGAACATTTATAGTTTATCCCAAAATAGCAGAATACACATTCTTCCCAAACTCACATAGATTATGCGCTGAGACAGAACACATCCTGGGCCATAATACACCGTAACAAATTTAGATGGTGGCAATGGCTGTACAAAATAGGGAACATGCTAAAAAAAATCACTTATTTGTACACTTTAAGTAAATTACAATGTTGAATTTTGTGTTATATGCATTTTCTATCAATTTTTAAAAGGTGCAAAACTGAAGGAACTGATGTTAATAGACAAGTTGTGAATAAACTCTGAGCAGAAATCCCCACATTGTTGCTTTTCCTGGAATTACAGAAAACTGAGTAGAAAGATAATATTGTTTTCAAATACAAGACATGTATGATGGTTTAAACTCAAGCTTTAAATTATTTTTTGTGAATTCCAAACCCCCTCAAAATCTGAAACAAGCAGTCTGCAATAGCTATTAAAAGTTTGTTGGAGACTAAGACCACTTAAATTGATATAAATTGATCTATTTATTAAAATCTTTGGTAATTAGGATACAATTTTACATTTTTAGTGAATAGTATGGAAGAAAGTATATCGAAAGATTATTGTTACATGAAATACCTCTTTTTAAATTACTGAATTAAAAATATTCATGTGATTACTGTTTACTTACTATTTACATACTTTCCTATTTTAAGTGTTAAATATGTGTGTACAAAAAATTTAAAAATATATACAAAAATATATACAAAAGAAAAAAATATATATATATATACAAAAGAAAAATCTAACACCCAAGTCATTGCTATGGTTTGGTTTTTATCATTATCAAAGCCCCATGTTGACTTTACAACAGGGAAAAACACTAATATTGTTACTGTCCCTTGGCTTACTCAGGGCTGCTAACACAGATTGCCATAACTGGTTGCTTTAAAGAACAAACATTTATTTCTAACAGTTCTGGAGGCTGGATAGTTTGAGATCAAGATGCAGGCAGTATCTTTATCTAGTAAAAGCCCTCTTCCCAGTTTGCATATACTGTTTTCTTGTAGCCTCCACAAGTGGCTGAGAGAGTGAGAGATAATTCACATCTCTGTTCTGATAAAGCTACCCTCATGACCTCATCTAAACTTAATCGCCTCTTAAAGGTTACACTTCCAAATAATATCAGAGTGGGCATTAGGGTTTCAACATATCAATTTGGGGGGGGGGGTGAGACAAATTTATTCAGGCAATATAGATATTTCCCTTGATTCTCTTTTTTTCTTCTGCTAATAGCCAATTTCTATTATTCTTTCTTGTGCTCTTCCTTTAATCTTTTACTTCTGTCTTCTCTCCTCCTCCCTCATAATAATCATATCCTATATAATTTCTGTTCTCTCCCTGTCCACCATTTGAAATTGTAAACCCTTTTGCAAACTTGCTGTTTTATTATAGGCAATAACTAATCATATCATTTTGTTTATTGTGATAATTAACTTTGTAGACATCATAGTAGGAAATATTTGTTTTAATGCTGTATATTGTTTGCATTGGTTGTTATCATCTGTCTCCCCCTAAACAGTGAGGTATTGGAAACCTTCAGGGACACTATAAGTACATGGGGTAGAAACTCTAGTGCCTCAGATTCATAGTGTTAGATAGGTAATCACACAAACTACATGAAAAATCAAGGGAACAAATCACCCCAAACAAACCAAGATACATCGACATCACAGTGGAAGAAATGTCAGAGAAGGATTTAGAATGTGCATAATTAAACTGATCTGTGAAGTAAAGGAATGAATTCAGAGAGAAATTACAGAAAGTGAAAGACTTCAATAAAGAGGAAGAGATTCTATTAAAAAAAAAAGACAAGCAAAAAGTCCTCAAATAGAAGGAAACAATAAACCAAATTAAAAATTCAACAGAAAGAATCACCAACAGACTAAACTACTTGGAAGATAGAACCTCAGGTAATGAAGACAAAATATATAATCTTGAAAATAGAGTTGACAATGGAGAGAAGATGTTAAAAAAGGGACAGGGTTTGATCCTCAGCGTCACTAAAAATAAATAAAGTAAAGGCATTGTGTCCATCTAAGAGATATATGGGAACCACTGCTTATTATAATCTATATAAGAAAATATATGTATATTTATTGCAAGTTCATGATAATATAAACCTTCTTCCTTAAGCAGGACATATCATTGCTTTCAAACTAAGAGTAACTTTCTAGATGGGCCTCAAATGCTACTCAAAGCACAGAACTGGCGATGGAAGAAAAATCCACCTGCTAATCCTCTTAAAGGATGAGATCAAAGTAGTTTTTCTACTTTCAGACTATTTTGTGAACCTCATGTGTGCTACTCCACCATATACCCTTGTACAGATCTATGAACTCATTTGAGCCAGGCATTATATCTTACCAGTGTGGAAGTGTCAGTGGTCTGCTGAATGCTGCTGCCCTTCAGCTCTGGAGTAGAAGCTTCAGCAACCATCATGACCCTATCCTCAGAAACTGTCTTCTTTAGACACTTGATATGAGCTCAGTCACTAGATGAAGAGCTGCCCAGGGGAAGAAAGAATTCAGTAATTACTGTGCTTTATGGGATAAATATTTGCCATGAACCATGCTAGTAATGGTCAGTGACAAATAGCACTTATACAATTGGATAGTAGTTGTAACAACCAGAAAGTGCAATGGACTTCTCACCATGGCCTGTTTCTTCTCTGTTTCTTGTCTATCATCCTGTAAAAATAAAATTGAAAAGGAATAAGAAGTGGCCTAAATTCATACGGGCATTTATGATCCCACAATACTACAGGGATATGGGCTTGCACTGTGTTTTATCACTGAAAGTACCAGTAATCCCTTGGGTGAGCATTTCTACCCCCATTTTACAGAGGAGAAGCTGGGTCACAGAGGACCCTTCCCAGTCTCATCCTCCAGCACTTCTTTACATAGAAAGTAGGTCCAGGACACCTTGGGGCAGGACATCATGCTGCCTGAGGCCAGGAGGGTCCCACATCTCTCTTCCTCTCCAGTCAGTGGAGACACCAAGCCCCAGAGTAGGAACAAAGCAACTCAGTTCTGGGATCCCTTCCTCTCCCCACAACCCAGTGAGGCTCAGTCCCCACCACAGGACACTCACACCCTATGCTAAGTTCAGAAAACTGGAGGCACAGCCCTGCTCTCCAACCAGAGCAAATTTGTCTCCTTTTCAAAGGAGACAACAGTTTAATGTTATCACTGTCAACATGATGACATCATGTTTCTATGGCTACCATAATGTGCAGGTTGTTCCTATACTCTGGAAATGCCTTTCAAGCATTTTTTTCCCTTCGGTCCCTAGGGCTTTCTCTGAAATCAAAACATCTTCAACCTTCAAGATACATGAGAAACCATACTAATTAGATAACAGAAGTGGGGATTGGGGGTTTGGGAACGCTCTGGCCAGGTTGTTGGAATAAAGCATATTTTGCTATCAGGAATTGTGTTGTCTTTAAAAATGACCTTAGGAGAGTATCACTTGTCCATAGAAACCCAGGGACAGATGTCTCCTAGGGCTCTTGAAGTTGAGCTAGCCTTCAGAGGGGAACATGCAAAACTCACATACCATCCTATGCAATTAGCCATCTGTGGCAGAAAACTCAAGAGGCTGTCCATAGTCATGGGACTAAATGATCTAGGAACACCAAAATGCCATTTGAGTTATTGCAGGGAGGCATATCTACAATAATATAGACATTTATTAGGGAAAAACCTAGTCAATCTAACCATACAATAGTTTATTCTCAGGAATTCTTATACTGCATTCCTGATATTTTCTCCAAGTGGAGGAACATCCACGATAAAACACATCTAGCCTCAATACACACCTACTCCTGCTGCATAACAAGAATGACTTACATGATTGCTGACAGTGTAAAGAGAAACAGGGATCCGACAGGCAAGGCCTTCTCCCATCAAGCCTCTTGGTGATAGGGGACAGAAAGATGTGAGTGGTAAAAACAAGGTTAAGAAAATAATTCTATAAAATAGGTCCATGTGCTGACTTCCACGTGCTTTTTTTCCAAGAAGCAATTTACCAGCAGCCCTGCCTGGTTTAAGTGATATGTCACATTCCTCAGCAAACTATTTGTTATCTGCAAAAGAAATGCAGACCTGAAATAATATCCATGAGAAGAACCCCAGTTACCCTGAAGGGGATTACTTTTGTGACCCTTTTAAAACACCAGATCCTGGAATGCAGGGAGATGAAATAATTTATCAATAAATGACATAATTTCATTCTTCCTTATGGCTGAGCATAACTCCATTTTGTGTGTGTGTGTGTGTGTGTGTGTATATATACACACATATAGATAGATAGATAGATAGACAGACAGATAGATCAATCTCACATTTTCTTGATCCATTTGCCTATTGATGGGCAGGCACCTAGTCTGTTCTTTAACTTGGCTATGGTGGATTGTGCAGTTATAAATGTTGATATGCATGTGTCACTACAGTATGTTGATTTTAAATATTGAATAAATAACAAAAAAAATTAGATAACTGGGTCATATGGTGTTTCCATTCCTAATCTTTTGATCAATCTTTGTGCTGCTTTCCAAAGTTGTTGCACTAATTTATAGCCATACCAATGATGTAGTAGTGTTGAGAGCCACAGCCGAAGGGGCCCCAGCAAACTTCCAGCTGCCAGCAATCCAGCTGCCGGCTGATGATTGGCTCACAGCGGCCCCAGCAACATCTAGCTGATTGGCTCCTCTGCGGTGATGCTCATTGGACTGTTTCCCTGCCCTTTCAGACCACGGAGCTGCTCATTGGGGGACTTTTTGGCTCTGCCCACGTGACCCAGCCAATCGGCCTCAAGAGCAGGAGGATTGTGGGAGGTGAAAAGAAGCTTGTGGGGGGAGAGACAGGCGTGTGGAAAGAAAAAAAAAAAAGAAATGCAGACCTGAAATAATATGATTTGATGAATGGATTAAAAAATGTATATATAAGCAATGGGGTTTTATTCAGCTGTAAAGAAAAATGAATTTATGTCATTTGCAGGAAAATGGGTGGAACGTGAGAGAATACTGTAGGTATGGTGAGGTTATATGGTAGCTAAGGAAGCAAACAGAGGTATTAGAGGAGAGTGGTCAAGCACAGAGAGAAGGAGTACCATTGACTTATTCACATGTGATGAGAAGTTATGCCCTAACTGGAGCTTTTCAGGGGCCTGCTGGTGAGCCTTGTGAACTAAGCACTCTAACGAACCTTAGAGCAAAACTCAAAAAGAGATATCTAAGTTCACCAACTCATATCAATTCCCCTGATTGATCCAGTTTACTGAGTGAATATAAATGGAAAAGAAAAAGATTTTAAGATAGCCCAAAACAAGGCAAGAAAATATAACATTTGTTTCATTGGTATTGTATAAAATAACAGAGAAATGAGTCAATAGGCAGGCAAATTTTTTAAGTGTATCTGTATTGCTTTTGAGCCCAGCCACAGAAAAGATCCATTCTTTATAGGACATATCAGGGCACATACAGGA